TCCCTCCCTCCCTCCCTGCAGGCACTGTTCGTACAGTTCCAACACAGCAGTCAGTCGGCCCTGCCACCAGACCACCTCAGGGAGGCTCTAGCTCGCTGTTACCAGGAGCAACACCGCTTCCAGCTCGGCATCATGGACGATGCTGCCGAATGCTTCGTAAGATCATCTACACTGTGTGTACCATAATTGGCGACCGAAACGGTGAACAGACCAGCATACCGCAACGTTACGTGATTCTAATTACGCGCAAATCACGCGTGAAATATTGAACATGAAACACATATCTATCTGTCTCAAATAGTTGTGTGCACTACTGGCTGTACCTGCCTTTGTACACTTTCACTCAGACTTCTTCATTTGGCTTATGTAAATTGCTACATGCATCACTGGTGTAGTATACTGCAGGAGAAGATACTGGAGCAGATTCATTTCCACCTGACTGGCAGTGATGACCTGGACTCTTGCTCTGCCGCTCACTGTCTCTCTCATCAGAAATGCTCTCTCAGTGTCCTCGAGATGGTTGGTGGTGCTTGTGTGAATCACGTGTGTGAGCAATACATGTGGGGTGGTAGGTTGGGTGGTTAGCTGTGGGTGTTGAATGTAGCTCACTTTCCAACAAGAATACATATTATCGTAGTTTACATGTACAAAACTGTGCTGTACAGTGAGCTCACTCCTGCATAATATACATACATACATACGTAACAGTAGTCTGGCTCATGGCTGACATTTCTCTCGATCTCCTTGTGTCCTCAGACAGAGTGTCAGTGTGGGGAGACCTCAGAGCCACTGGCCTTCGTCCAGTTTGTCCACTACATCTCCGCCCCCAGTCTCGGGTCAGTCTCTCTCTCTCTCTCTCTCTCTCTACTGTAGTATATACATACCTTATTGAAGTACACAACTGAAATTGCTTGAAAGTGTTGTTTATTTACACACTTGATTATGAACAACGAGTGATATGTACAAACATGCACACTTGTTATACCCCACTACAAGAAGGGAAAGGAGACGGTACATTTTGTGCATTGTATAATTATCTGCAAAGCAATTCGCAGAAGTGATTTTCTTAGTTTATGTTTATGAAAGTCTCTTGCAACCTTTGTACTCCTGTTATTTCTGATGTCGATAGGGCGGCAGCTAAGAAGGAGAAGAAGCAGGGTGGCGGCTATTCGCTGGGAGACGGGGAGATGTTTGGGAGGTTGGTGAGGGTGGTGAGTGGGGAGGGGGAGTGGAGGGAGTGTGAGACCTGCCACAAGAAGAGTCCCGTCAAGAAGATGCTTCTCAACAACCCTGACCTCGGTAGGTGAACTCTGACCTCAGTAGGTGAACCCTGACCTTGGTAGGTGAACTCAGACCTTGGTAGCTACGCGCTCTGGGAGAACGGATTACTGCTTTTGCTATAATTAAATACACTCCTTTTCCTTAATCTCAGGGGCAAAAAGGAGTTAGCCTTACCTTACCCCCTCTCCTGAAACATGCATTGCAGCATGCCCCTGTTTTTAAACGTCTGTGGAGTGTGGACCAGAGAGACTTCACTTTCTGCATTTGCATCCTTGTTTTCGTGTCAATTCCCTGTTACTATTCTCCATTACATCATGCTCTTTTTCTCCCCCTTTCCATTTTGCCTTTCTACATTCTTTCTCTTTTACCATCTTCCCTCCCTCCCTCTCTCCTCCCTTCTCACACCCTCCCTCTCTCCCTCCCTCCCTCCCTCTCCCAGTGTGTATAGGGATGATATGGGACAGTGATCAGCCAAATATCGATGACATCATGAGTGTTGTGCAGTCTGTTGGCATATTTGTCAGAGTCTCTGATGTAAGTCGTTCAGTAGCCATCAAGGCATGAGGGGTCAGGGTTTTGGGGTGGGATGGAAGTTACTAACCTACATATCTGTGTGCACTCACGCGTTAACACGCGTTTACTATAATCTCGTAGTAATTTGCATCTAGTTTACTATTTTGCACCATAACCTGTGTGCACGTATATGTAAGTGTGCATTAATTAGAGTTCATGCTATGCATCAGAAATGCTACCACACCTCCTCAGGCTTCTAAATGCGCGTGTATTTCATGGACTCGCTATTATTATAGTTAACATGTGGTGCATTTGTAAAGGTTCCTCTTTGAAATTGATAAACCTGGTTTCCTGTGCTTCAATTGGAATGTGCTGTAATTCAGTCATAAAAACAATTTTGTATTTTAGGGGAGCAGACAATAAGTGCATGGTATGATTTTTGTGGCTTTTCTCTCTTCTTTCTCTCTCTCCCTCTCTCTCCTCCTCTCCCGGCTCCCAATCTCAGATATTCCACCGAGTGATGAGTGAGGCCGGGTCCAAGGAGTACTGTCTCAGTGGTATGGTGGCCTACTACGGCCATCACTACTGCACCTTCTGCTACCACACTGTCCTCAGACAGTGGGGCTTCTTTGACGACGCCAACTTCAGAACCGTGAGCATGTTTTGTTTTTTTCAATTGTGTCTGTTTGTAATACAAACTGTAAGATTATGAAATTGTGTAAGTGATTCGCCATCCTACGACAGTGGCGATTTTTTGACAACGCCAACTTCGGAACTGTGAACTACAGCATGCGACCATTCAACCATTGTGATAGTTTCATGTAGTGTCAATATCGGTTTATTATGTAAGTGTAAGCAGTGGACTAGCATTGTTTGTGAGATTTTTCGCAACATGAAAGAAGTTTTAACTAACTGTAGAAAAATTATTAGCAGATGTGCAGTGCATGGAGCCCTGTTTTCTGTAGTGCACAATAATAAAGCTTCCTCAGTATTTTAGTTAGTATACAATATGTTCATAGTACATTGCGTGTGTATCCAGCTTTAACAGTTGATCCTACAGCATATCGAAACCTTATGTAAATGCATGCAGGAAGCTACATATTCCTTTCAGTTTACTTCTGTAACTGTTGTTTTTCCCATGATGTAATGTTTTACAGATTGGCAGTAACTGGGCGGATGTAGTGGAACTGTGTCGCAAGGCACACTACCAACCTCTACTGCTGGTCTACTCCGACCCCTTTGCCGATAAGATCGTCATGACAACCGCACCCGTACAAGTCACCCGAGTCGTTGCCACGGAAACCAAGACCAAGTCACTGACTCCTGTAACGGAAGAAGCGAGCGAGATCTCAGCCGATACTCGGAAAACCAGTGACAACAAGCCACTAACCAACAGTGGGCCTCATTCAGAGACTGGTGGTTCTCAATCCAGTAGCGTACGGAGCCAATTATCGAACGGTACCTATTATCGAACGCTTCGCGAGGCCTGCAAGGGTAGAAAAGTATACGACTGAAACGGAGGTGGACAAGGTATGCGGACCCTCTCCGCGCGGCTAATTTTTCGTCGGTCTTTTCTCTTTAGGTAAGTCGTTTTATCAGCTATATGGGCAGCTATTACTTACTTTATTGCCCCACCAGGAGTGCTGGGTATGCCGCGCAAGAGGTGCTCGTTCGCCAGGAAGCGCTCGAGGTCTGCACCCGCCCGTCTTCCTCGTTCGGTGTGGTGGCTGGACCCTCATTCTCGCAAGAACAGCAGCGTCGTTTTCAGGTCCGCTATGAGGAAGATTTTGATGTTGCTGGAGATCCTGACTACGTCTCTTGGCTTCGAATTAACCACCCCGATTCTCCACTTCTAAGGCATCCTACAGGGCCCCAAACAAGTGCATCATCAGGCAAATCGCTCCTCCATCACTTTTCAGATGTCACTCCTGTCGCAGAGATTGCTGTTGACTCTCCCCCTCCTGACACAGATAACAGCACAAAAAAACACTCCATCAACGTCGGCACTCTCAAAGTTCCTGACCCCTCCTCTAGCGTCAACTCCCACTGGTCGAAAAGGAGAGCCACCTCGGGCTCGTTTATTAACAAGTTGTGCTGCTTTTGAGATATTGAAGGAGAAAGAGAGAAAAAAGCAAGAGGAAGCAGAGATAAAAGAGAAAAAGAAGAAGGAGAGGGAAGAAACAAAGAAAAGGAAGGAAGAAGAACAAAGGAAAAAGGCGGAGGAGCGAGCAAGAAAGCAGGAACAAAAACTGAAGGAGAAAGCTGAAAAGGAAGCACAAAAAGCTAAAAAAGAGATCAATCTGAAAGGAATGGGTAGCTGCGCATGTGTGAGCGTATGGCTGCATGAGACTGCCCGCCAGATGACGGTGTAGCAGATAGTGATGGGAAGGAGCGTTATTTGCCTCAATAATTATTCTCTACCTGATCGTTTTTTTTCTCCTTCAGTTTTGTATGCACAACACTCCTTGGAAAGTAGTCATTTGGGTGAATATTTCCCGAGTTTGCGCCGGTCTACATCTGAATAGCGCCCGTGTAGCTGCATATCAATATGCAGCGCATGGCATAAACGCAACAATGCCTGTGCTGTAGGTGGGGTTTTTCCCCCAGCGTTCGATATAATGCGCACGTTCGGCGGTCGGTATATCTACCGGTGTTCGATAAACATTTAATGGTCCGTGACATTGACATTGACATTATAACGGAGGAGAGCGCTCTAAATGGAAAACCGATAGTGGGCTTGACCTTTGCGAGTCTTGTAGAGCATAGAATGGGGTTTGCGACGGTACAGGAACCGAATTCCGGAGGCGTTTCTTGACGGGCTATATACAAGCGCGGGTATTCGATAATCTCCGTACGCTAGCATTATAGCAGCAACATGACAACACTGAATTTTATATAGATAGACGACCTGGGATGGGTCCACGTACCGCTAGCGGTATATAGGCATCCCACTGTATTTAGAACGCTATTATACACACACACCCAAGATGGATAAGTTCTGAGCGCTATGTCTATAACGTGCTGTATCTAACTCACTGCAAATTCGTTCTAACACGCCAACTTACCAACTCCAGTTTGACAAAGAAGAGGCCTCGCCACGAAATCCTCCTGGGGCCGGTCCCGGCGCATTCCGGGAAGAGTATATACACCCACCCATCTTTGCAATAGTATAACCACAATGTCACGTCATGTGCTTCAGAATCATTTCCTATCCTTGCATCTGCTAATGACAACTGGGCCTGGGCTATAATTATACAGATCCCTGTTGGCATTCACAATTTTTGTTACTGGATGTGCCACTGGTGCTAGAGTGAGACAGTGCCATGAAGGAAGCTTGAGTTAGAAAGAGAAAGGTCTTGTGAAGAAGTCCATCAGACAGTCACGCAGCAACACTCCATACTCAGATCACTGCTTACTTGGGGTTACTGGAACAGACACATCCAGGTAGCATAGGTGCTTCATGTTCAGTAGCAACACATGCGTTGATAATTAAATTCCCACCAGCTGAATTTCCTTCTGAGACACAGATAAACTACTTACACTTTTGCCCCATGCTCTTGTGAAACCAGTTCTGTTGGCCATTGGCATCGGGTACTTTCATGATTATGGGTCTTCATGGACATTATAAGAGATAATAACATTGAAATAATTGAGGGAATTTTGCAGTAGAAGTGTTGTGAAATGTTGCATCTACATACATAGCAGCCAAAACATGAATTATAAAGAGTCAATTTTCTTATGTAAAAAGATATGCAGTGTAATAACTATGTTCTTGTAACAGTGCTAGAGTGTCTACTTTTCACTTTTGGCTGGTGTTGCAGTAGATACTGTTACCACATCATTGTGGTTGTTGGCTCTGGCCATCCCGTCAGAGCAGTGTTCCAAACTGTAGAGACAAATAGACGTCCATTTAGACGTGTGTCAGATTTAATATGCATTGAAGACCTCTCCCATTACTATGATTGGCAAACAGAGAGAACAGTTCGGTAGT